TTGGGGAGAAAAAACATAACATTATGAATTATAATACCAAGTAGAATTAATTTTATTAAAAATTAAAAATGTGAGTATTATAATATTTAATATTTTCTAAAATTTAATTATGCTATTATTATGGCAACCCCAATAGGGGGTTTATTCCTAATTTTAGAACACTACAATTACAAGATGGGATGGTCTTCAAACTACCAAGTTTTGGTGCAACAATGTGCAAATCAAATATGTTTCCAGAATAACAAAATGAGAGATCCTCTAGCATGGGAAGATAAACAACATAATCCGAATAATCTCCAGACAAAAAGTCAACATATTCAAGATAAAGTGATGTCAGATTTGGAAGTTCATAGACATCTACTAGTTCAACACGGATTTCAGAAATTTTCAATCTCTTCAATGTTGGGCAAGAAAATATGCAATTCGACACCAGGTATCCCGAATTTTCGGGACAAGAAATGTCAATTACTTCAACACCATTCTGGGCGAGAAGAAGAAACCACTTATTCAAGTTATTTTTCAACAAATTAGCTATATCATCATTTGCGAAATCCAATATATCTCCACAGAAATTGAAGATAACTTTGTGAATACGTCCATTGTGCCGCAAGAAAATATTGTTGACTACTCCAGAAATAGAAAATTTCAAAGCCTCATCGGAATATTTAAGACATAAGTAATCAAAGAAATCACTGTCAAACCAAAGTTTTGTCAAACTAAATCAGATATCCTTCCAGATGGAAGATAAAATTTCAACTCTGGCAGCATCTAGAATGGGCAAAAATCCCATAATATTGTCAAGTATACCGGCACGGAGTTCACTAATTCTATCTTTTTCTTCCATAATTCCAATGACTCACAAGCAAAAACTGAAAAAAAAAAATCAGAATATAGCTCTATAAAATCTTGAAAAAAAAATCAAAGCATAATATGAATATTTGAAACAAACCTTTCAGGAAGGAGATGAGAGGATTAATGCACCAATTCTGCTTTAAAAAAGAAAAAAAAAAACGCACCAATTCTGCGGCGTTTAAAGAAATTACAGGGGGGTTATCAAAAAAAAATCCAAGGGACGTGACTTTTAGAATCCCAAGGGATGTAACTTTTAGTTTCCTTGCACCAATCTAAAAAACAAGTCACAATGCTCGACAATGTCACAGTGCTCTGCAATGTCGAAGCCATCGCCGCTGCCGGACAGAGGAGGAGAGGGGTAGACCACCGTCGAAGCCATCGCCGTTACTCTGCCCTGCTCGCTGGAAAAACAAGGGTCGCCAGAGAGGGTCGTCGTTACTTCTCGTCGCCATTGCTCAGTCGCGGCCGCTGCAACAGTTCGCCGGAGAGGCGAACCTCTCTTGCGACCTTTCCAGGGTCTCGTCCGACCTATACAACGTGATCGCCGTCCTCAATTTGGTGATCGAACGTCAGCAGAGGCTTCTCGCAATCGGACCCAGATTTCATCGCTCAAAGCTTCCCCGATGGAGTCGTTGCATGGAGGATCAGATGGTGTGGATGGTGTCGGATATGTCCTAAGAACGTTCGCCACTGGTCAGATCGTCGATCGGCGGTCGCTGGATCTTCCGGAGGTCATTGCGCAGTGGGCCAATTTCCAGCAAACAGAGGTCGCGGACAAAGAAGGGGGTCATGCTTGGCTTCCTGGCATTTTAGGTTGTTCCGTCGTAGTCCGTGGATGCCGTTGGTAGCCGAGGCTCATGCTTGGCTTCGCAAATTGAGACAACGGTCTCAGCCGCTGCTCAGACTGGTGTTGGCCACCCAGACGGAGGATCTTCGCAACTTTCTGATTGCCTAGGGAGTTCGATTGCCCTGTGATCGAGGCGGGTAGCATTAGATATAGGAATTGTATTTTGAGTACCGTTCTGTAACTCTAGGAGTTCTCTTTTCTTGACGATTTCGCTTTAAAATTGAAATTATATATTATAATTTATGTTATAGATACGGATATAGATTATACTTTTTAGAATAAGAAATAAATAAATAAATAATTTTTTTGGATCAACCATACTGTTAGCTTGATGAAAACTAGAGTTCCACAGTTCACACAAGCCAGCCAATTTGAAATTTCATTCGGACCAGATGCTCCATTCCATATCACAGTTACACACATTTCTTGATTAGCCCCCAAAAAATGCCACATCACGGTTGCATTACACCCTAAAAAAATTTAACAGTTTAATAATAAAGAACGGGGTGTTCTAATAAATTTCAGCTTCAAACTCGACAAATTCATGGACACAGTGTGTTGCGGGAATAATGGAAAACTTGGTAAGCCGAAGAAGTCGAAGTCGAAGTCAAAGTCAAAGTCAAAGTTTCCGAAATCCAGATTATCTAACGCCATGAATTCGTTGACGGTGACAGCTTCGTTTGGGATGAAGTCACTATGCACAGGGCTATCAAACGGAGTGAAGTCGTCGTAACGGAGGACGGAGGCGGGGGACAGAGCTGCGTGGCTTGAGGTAAGCGAGGTATCAACGGTCGTCTCGGTTACCGTTTTTTTTGGGAAGTTGGTGACGGCGTCAGGGCCTTTTAGTCTCACGGAGGTGTTGTTGTACACGGCAACAGCTTCTTCCGGGCTATCATAGGTGCTGAGCCAGAGGTGTTTCCCACGGGTGGGGTCGCGAATCTCCACCGCCCAACGCCCCCTCGGCCGCTTACACACTCTTCTGAACTTCCGGCTGCAGGCGTCAAACGACGGCGTCGGCACAAACTTGATCCCCCATATGTGCCTCTTCACCCTCCTCCACATCCCCACCGCCATCTCCCCTTCATCATCGGAGGAGTCCGTGGCGTCACTGTCAGTGACCACAATCCGTAGAACTTTGTTCCGGAGCATCCCCTATCCCGAACTACCCTCAAGAATCGACTGAAACAAGACTACTGACGATGAGTTGACTTGAAGGATGAGATAATATACATCTCTCTAGAACTGTACATTGAAAAAAAAAAAAAACAAATCTATGGCGTAGGCCGTAGGGTGAGTAGAACTGAGAAGTGCTGGTTTCAAAAAAATAAATAAATAAATAAACAAAAAAATAAAAGCGAACTGAGATGTAGGTATTGTTATAGGGAAGAGAAAAAGGGTACGTGCAAGAGTTTTACTTTTTTGCTGTTTTGGGGGGAAAACATAACATTATGAATTATGATACCAAGTAGAATTAATTTTATTAAAAATTAAAAATGTGTGTATTATAATATTTAATATTTTTTAAAATTTAATTATGTTATTATTAGGGCAACCCCAATAGGGGGTTTATTCTTAATTTTAGAACACTACAATTACAAGATGGGATGATCTTCAAACTACCAAGTCGAAACCACTGATTCAAGTTGTTTTTAAGCAAATTAGCTATATCATCATTTTAGAAATCCAATATATCTCCACAGAAATTGAAGATAACTTTATGAATACATCCATTGTGCCGCATGAAAATGTTGTTGACTAATCCAGAAATATGAAATTCCAAAGCCCCATCTGAATATTTAAGACATAAGTAATCAAAGAAATCACTGTCAAAACAAAGTTTTGTCAAACTAAACCAGATATCCTTCCAGATGGAAGATAAAATTTCAACTCTGGCAGCATCTAGAATTGGCATAAATCTCATAATATTGTCAAGTATACCGACAGGGAGTTCACTAATTCTATCTTTTTCTTCCATAATTTCAATGACTCACAAGCAAAAACTGAAAAAAAAAAAATCATAATATAGCTCTATAAAATCTTGAAAAAAAAAGAAATAAGAGAATAATATGAATATTCGAAACAAACCTTTCAAGAAGGAGATGGGAGGAGATGAGAGGATTAACGCACCAATTCTGCGGCATTTAAAGAAATCCCAAGGGGGTTATCAAAAAACAAATCCAAGGGACGTGACTTTTAGAATCCCAAGGGATGTAACTTTTAGGTTCCTTGCACAACTCAAAAATAAGTCACAATGCTCGACTACGTCACAGTGCTCTGAAATGTCGAAGCCATCGCCGCTGCCGGACAGAGGAGGAAAGGGGTAGACCACCGTCGAAACCATCGCCGCTGCTCTGCCGTGCTCGCTGGAAAAACAAGGTTCGCCAGAGAGGTTCGTCGCCACTGCTCAGACGCGGCCGCCGCAACAGTTCGCCGAAGAGGCGAACCTCTCTCACGACCTTTCCAGGGTTTCGTCCGGCCTATACAACGTGATCGCCGTCCTCAATTTGGTGATCGAAGTCAGCAAAGGCTTCTCGAAATCGGACCCAGATTTCATCGCTCAAAGCTTCCCCGATGGAGTCGTTGCATGGAGGATCAGATGGTGTGGATGGTGTCGGATATGTCCAAAGAACGTTCGCCGCTGGTCAGATCGTCGATCGGCGGATCTTCCGGAGGTCGTTGCGCAGTGGGCCAATTTCCAGCAAACAGAGGTCGCTGACAAAGAAGGGACTCATGCTTGGCTTCCTGGCATTTTAGGTTGTTCCGTCGCAATTCGTGGATGTCGTTGGTAGCCGAGGCTCATGCTTGGAATTGCAAATGGAGACTACAGTCTCAGACGCTGTTCAGACTGGTGTTGGCCACCCAGACGGAGGATCTTCGCAACTTTCTATTTGCCTAGGGAGTTCGATTGCCCAGTGGTGGCAGCGGGTAGCTTTAGATATAGGAATTGTATTTTGAGTACCGATCTGGAAACTCTAGGAGTTCTCGTTTCCTGACGATTTCGCTTTAAAATTGAAATTATAAATTTTAATTTATGTTATAGATATGCATATAGATTATAATTTTTAGAATAATAAATAAATAATTAATTAATTTTTTTGGATCAACCATACTGTCAGCTTGATGAAAATTAGAGTTCCACAGTTCACACAAGCCAGCCAATTTGAATTTCATTTGGACCAGATGCTCCATTCCATATCACAGTTACCCACATTTCTTGATTTGCCCCCAAAAAATGCCACATCACGGTTGCATTACACCCTAAAAAAAAATTTAACAGTACAACATAAAACAACGGGGTGTCCTAATAAATTTCAGCATCAAACTCGTCAAATTCATGGACGCAATGTGTTGCGAATAATGGAAAAATTGTTAAGCCGAAGAAGTCAAAGTCGAAGTCGAAGTCGAAGTCAAAGTCAAAGTTTTCGAAATCCAGATTATCTAACGCCTTGAATTCGTTGACGACGGCAGCTTCGTTTGGGATGAAGTCACTCTGCACAGGGCTATCGAACGGAGTAAAGTCGTCGTAACGGGGGACGGAGGCGGGGGACAGAGTCGCGTTGCTTGGGGTGAGCGAGGTATTGACGGCCGTCTCGGTTACCATTTTTGTCGGGAAGTTGGTGACGGCGTCAGGGCCTTTTGGTCTCACGGAGGCGTTGTCGTACACGACGGCGGCTTCTTCCTGGCTGTCATAGGTGCCGAGCCAGAGGCGTTTCCCCCGGGTGGGGTCGCGAATCTCCACCGCCCAACGCCCCCTCGGCCGCTTACGCACTCCTCTGAATTTCCGGCTGCAGGCGTCAAACGACGGCATCGGCACAAACTTGATCTCCCACATGTGCCTCTTATTATTATGTTGATTTTAAAATTTATTGCTACTTGTATTATTATTTGAATTTGAAATAACTAATTTAACTATATAACTAACGATTTAAATAAAATTTATAAATAAATTAATAGGCAATTTTTGTTATCGAAAATCTCTACAAAAAACTTATTCATTTAAAAAAGATATTGTATGTAAGAACTCTTTTTATTTGATATCTAAAAACTATGAAAATTTAATTATAATAATAACAAATCTACCATCTACATCTACATCTACAATTCTAATAAGTGCCAAAAAAAAATATTTCTTAAAATGAATGGTTCAAATTGTTTTGATTTTAGTATTTTAAATGATTTTCTTTATTTACCCTTTATTATATTATTTTCTTCCCTTAAATAACCTTAAATTCCGTTAGTATAAACTTTATTAACAGAATATTCTGTTAACTATTTATTATTCTTAACTTACTCATTAATTTTATAAGAAATGTCTTAGGTTCGAATGTCATCCTAATTAGAGTTTGCATAATTGTTAAACATATACTACGAATATGTTAAAATGTATTAAAAATATAATATAAAATTTAACATAAACTTTAGTCAAATAATTAACCCGACTAAATACCTAGCATTCAATGATTATACATCAGGAACTTTGAAATGATTTGATTTTCTTTCATTAAAAAATAAATTTAAGTTCATTTTTTTGGTTTAATTAATCTTCTTTGATTATTGAGAACAAAACTTAATATTTCAATTATGCTTTTATCAATGCATGAAAACTTCTAGAGAAATTTGTAAGTTAATTTTTACTACATTATTATAACAATATCTATTGTAACTTTATATTTTGAATTATTTATTATCATCATCTATTGACAGCAATTGTCATTGACAAGCTCTCAAAACGATTTGTCTCAACAACGAATGGAAATTAAAAAAATTGAAAAATTGAAAAGTATGTACGCCACTTTATTCAATCGTTGTGTTGTGGAACTGTGTCCACCTTGCAAGGTTGACACAGTTCTATATTCATAATTATTGAACTATATGTTCATAATTATAAACCTATATATTCATAATTTTTTAACTTCATATTCATAATTATTGAACTCTATATTCACAACTACAGAACTCTATGGTCATAATTACTGAATTATATATTCATAATTTTTGAACTCCATATTCACAATTATTGAATCTATATATTCATAATTACAGAACTATATGTTCATAATTATGTTCGCAAATGTATGTTCATAATTATAGAAATATATATTCATAATTTTAGAACTACATAATCATAATTATGAACAATTTTGGAACTGTGTCCACCTTGCAAGGTGGACACGGTTCCACAGCATAATTCGCCCAGATTATTGCTCTTATTAATTAAATTAAAAAAGAAATTAGTAGCTACAACAAAAAATAATATCAACATGTGCTTGTAAGATAAATAGTTCATAACACAATTAAGATCTCAGTTATATATACACAAAAAGACGACGGTGAATTAGACTAATGTTGTAGTTATAATTCTATATTAGACTTTAATATTAGAATTAGACTAACGGTGAATTAACAGTACTTAATGAGAAAGTTAACGGATCAAATAATCATATAATTAAGGATAAATTAAGAAATCTCAAGGAAAAATAAAAATCTGAACTATTCATTTGATTTAATAATTTGACTGTCATTTTTTCTACCCAATGTTTATAATTAAATAAATGCTTGAAAGTCTAGGATGGTACGGTTCGATTCGAGAAAATTTAATCGAATTGTTCACTCTTAAAGTTAATTACCAAAATGATCCTTAACTATAACGAATTACGAATTTGGTCTCAAATTAACAGTTGACTAACGATCAAATAAACGAAGGACCAAATTAGTTAAGACTTTTAAAATTGAGAGACTTAATTGGTCAAAAAAATAATCAATGACCAAATTAATAATTTCGCTATAGTCAAAAGACCATTTCGGTATTTAACTAAATGAAAAACTTTATTTTACTTATGAATACTAAACAGAACCGACAAAAATGAAATAGGGAATAAAACATTTCAATCTTATAATGCAGCAGAAGTTGATTTTTAGTAATATAATAAAAAGTTTTGGACGTATAGTAGCTTTGATATCAGTCTTGATTACTCTGAATATCGTTGTTTATTTTTGAGATGATAATAATTGAGTTGATACTCCGAGTTTTGTTATCCTGCGTTTTGAACCGTCATTAACCATCTTAGCAAAAATAAGCTAATCCCCTGGAAAAGAAACCAACTTGCATGTGAAATTTATCATATATAAGAGACTGCATATGGAATCTCATAAAAAATAGTGAAATAATGTGAGAGTAAGAAGATTTTTTTTTATCGTCCACAAACTATCAGGCTAAAATGTAGACGTTATCACCCAAAAATAAAATAAAATAAAATAATACGGTTTTTTTTTTCTTTTAATTCATTGTAATTTATTATAAATTCATCAGAAAAGATAGATTTACATGGATTAATGTCTCAGCCACTCATCTCACGTTTCAAACACAAGAGAACACAACCATATGGTTCACAGAACACTAAAAAAAGAAAGTAGCCATCAACACATATATATAAATGCTCATCATCACATGTCAGCCTTGGTGGCCTTAATGTCCTCTCCGGCGGCGGCGCCGCCATCCCCGGCGATGTTGATCACCTTAGTATGCTTCTTTCTCTCCTCCGCCACTTTGGGAACAGTAACCCTCAACACCCCATCCTCCAAACGCGCCTTTATCTGTTCCAAGTCGGCGTTTCCGGGCAGGCGGAACTGGCGCCAGAACTTCCCGGAGGTCCGCTCCGCCCGGTGCCACTTCTCGCCGTCGACCTCCTCCTCGGGCTTCCGCTCGCCGCTTATCCGCAGCACCCGGTTCTCCTCCACCTCTATCTTCACGTCCTCCTTCTTCATCCCGGGCACGTCGAGGGCGATCACGTGCTCCCTGGAGGTCTCCTTCCAGTCGGCACGTGCAAGGGCGAGAGATTCCGCCGACTTGGGGATCGTCAGCGGCGACTGCTCCAGGATCCTGAAGGGATCTTCCGGCGGGAACATCAAATCCAGGAACGGCGAGCGCGTGTACGGCATGAGCGCTTCGGTTGGCGTAGGGAGGAGAGTCAAGGCGGCGGTTATCGCTAAAGCGAGACAGATAGCGTTGCTAATGAGCTTTGATTTCGCCATTTTCAGAAAGCTTATGATAGTATACGATGATGGATAGATCTTTTTGTTTTGCAATCTGCGGTGGTTATGTTGGCGGGTTTCGATTCTTGATTTGTTTGTGGGAAGGTGGCGAAGGGGTTTTATAGGTGGGGTTACAGACTTAAAGTGGTGGTTCCAGAGGGTTCGATTCGGTGTACAAGTTTCTGGACGCATGCATCTCGATGCGGTCTGGAATGTTCATGATGTCTCTCGGGTTAGGGACGATAGACGCAAAGTGAGAGTTTTTTTTTTTTGTTTTTTTTTTAAGTATAATATTTTAAAATTAAAATATAAATGTATTATATTTTTCTTCAAAAATATTACACTTACTTTTAGATTTAGTTTCATTTTTTATCCTAAATTTATGGGTGACAATATATTTTTAGTCTTTTTTCAGAACATTCATCTTTGATTATATACTAGTATTATTATGACATGATCAATTTTGATCTTCCATCAACAAAATCGTTGAAATATCGTTAAATACAAGATCATTGCGATCTGGTTTATACAAAGTGGATTGACTCATTACATTTTTATTTTTATTTTTATTTTAAATTCATAATTGAAGACCTAAATGTTCTTGTATTTTACGAAATTTAATCAGTTTTATTAATGGAGGTGTCATGCCACAATAATACTAGGATCAAAGAATGATTATTTGAAAAAGTAAACTAAAAATGTAATATCAACTATAAACTTAGGATAAAAAATGAAATTAACTACCTTCTTTTATAAGGATATCTCTAACCAAGAAGAAAGAGGGGGAGAAAGGAAGAGAAAGGGGGATAAAACTTTGGAGAGAAGAGATTATTCTCTAAAGAGAAATTTCTCTCCAGAAAAACATTAAACGTGCGAACACGGTGTGGACAACACGCGCTAATCAAATAGCGCGTGCTGATCACGCACCATTTCATGCACATTATACGTGTAAATTTCTATATTAAAATTTATTTTAAAAATTTTTAATTTTATCAACTTTTGGTATATGTAGATTTAAAAATTGAATCCAAATTTTATTAATTGTTGATATCTATAGTATTTTAACAAGTGGATAAAATAATAAATGATATGTAAGAATTTAAATGAATAAGACCTATAAAAATAGAAAGTTTGGGAACAACAATAAAAATAGAAAGTGAATAAAATAATACAAAATAGATGATATGTAGGAGTTTGAATGAGTAAGGTGGCCGGAGTTAACATTTTTGGGGGTTGTCACCGGGGATCTTTGCTGTACACCTCACCGATATCTTTGGTTTTGGAGATGCACGAGGCACCCAAGGATATATGGGCTATGGGCTATAGGGTGCATGTGAAAGATTATGATTTTTAATGTCCTAATATTCGCTCACATTAAACAAAGAACACACATATTCATTGATTCATTTCTCTTCTTATAATCGTGTTACTATGTGAAATGAAATTTAAAGGTTTCACAGTTTACAAAGTAATTTGAAATGTTTAAATGTATGAAAGCAGATATTAATGGTACTCAGGTGTTTTAAATTTCTGGGCACAAATGATCTTTTGTGGACTTACTTCCATTTCATTTAAAATCTGGTTGTTGTGTGTCCATGCTATATATAGAAACCCATTAATAAGTTATAACTCTTTACTAGTTCATTTATCCATAAAATAATTTGATTTCATTGTGCATCTATTTGTATAAAAGTTTGCAATAGTTATACACTTATAGTGGACATGCCAATACACATTCGATCTCCAAAAGTGCATTATATTGTGTTTTAACATTGGTATGTCATCTGAATTACCTAGCAATCTAAAACTTAATGATGTAACAGTAGATTTCAAAGGTTTATGTAATTGGTGAGGAAGCTAAGGCGTATTGGAGGTCGGAGCTTGAGCTTACTGGCTTTACAGGGCTCGGTAGTCTGGTTGGTTTCCTTCTTTTACATGGACGTATTTATATTTCACCCATCAATTATCACAATAGTGACATTGTTGGTCCCTAACACTAAGTATCCTTCTATAACTAACCTGGTAGGGAATACCCCGACCGACATGCCTTTGTCTTTTATTCTTGTTTATGCAGGTTACAGGTCGGACTTTCTTAGAAGAAGGAACCGACCGGATTGATGCCCGACCGAGGTCTTCATTACCCGAGCGAGAGCCCTTAGGCGAGAGAACCAGGAGGAAGCACGTGGCAGCGTTAGGCGTTGACAGGCAGGGCTAACGGGGAGAAGACACGTCATTGCTACGTGGGTGACATGCCGGACTTGTGTCTCCGGCCCAACGGCTATAAATACCCGCGGTGGCAACAGTGTGGGGGACTTTTGGACGATCGATAGGTTGTTATCAGAGAATCCCGACCGCAGTTAGTCGGTACTCGGAACAGCCACTTAGATTGTACTTAGGGCCTTCACCTTGATCAATAAAAGACATTTAATTGCTTTAATTGGTCTTCTTATAGTTTATTTACCGCTTACGTGGCAATTAACATTATTATTTTGGCGCCGTCTGTGGGGACCCGTGCACGAAAGTTACGTCTTGATGAGCACCCGTCCTTCTTATCACAATGTATCCATACGCATACGACCTGTTCCGTGACGATTAAGCGGATGCGGCGAGCTCATCCGATCACCAGCCGACCCAGTATCAAGGTCAGACAGTCGACCTTAATCTCAACCTCTCACCACCCCATCCAGCATCTTAGTATCCGACCCCCCAACAGCCGGTTAATTACATCCAGCCGGGATATCCAACACCCGGTCCGCAGCCCCAGTTCCCCAGGCAGTATCCTTACCCGGTCCCGCCTCCTCCATACGGATACTGGCCCGCTCAGCCGATGTTCTATACACCACCAGTCGGCTAACCCCCCTACACGCCTGCGTACACGGCTCCAGCCGCCGCCCCTCCAATTTACCCGACTGCTCAAGTAGAGCCACAACATCAGCCCACTTCCCGGGCTTGACGCTCGGCTCGTTCGCGGTTGGGGTCGGGGGGTGCTGATGCGATGGAGGTACCACGGCAGGCCCCAGAAGCACAACTGGAGGTTCCGGCCCTAGCGGAGGACCCCGAAGAAATCAACCGGGCGGTAGCCTTCGACCGTCTCCGACCGGCGATGCGACAACGTTTGGGACCACAGGGCCCGAGCCGGCAAACGACAGATGTACAGATGCAGGAGGCTAGCCAGGAGGCTTCATTCAGGCATAGCGGGTCGAGATCTCACCGTCGATGACGCGCTCGGGAGTCAACCCAAGCCCAGACGGCTGAGCTCAACGAGACTCGAGGATTGCTCTACAACCTCCGGGCGGAGTTTGCTCAATTCCGGAACGAGCATTCGGTGAGACCCCCGATCGACCAGTCGTCCTTATTGAGGACACCCTTTACAGCGGAGATAATGGCCCAGCCATACCCGCTCGACCTGAAAGTTTCGGGGGAGAAGAGTTACGATGGTCGTACGGACCCTGAGGTCCACGTCAATGATTACTACGGCAATATGATGATGAAGGGCGTGACAGACTCCGTGATGTGCAGGGTTTTTTACTACACCCTCACCGGTCGGGCGACGGAGTGGTTCCGAACGCTGCAGCCAGGGTCTATTGCCGATTTCAATACCCTGGCGATCAAGTTCGTGAGAAAGTTCATCACCTCCAAGGTGGTGAGGAAGCCCTATATGTATCTGGAAAAGGCCAAGCAGCTCGAAGGGGAGAGCTTGACCGATTTCCTTATCAAGTGGAAGGCTGCAGTCGGGGAAGTCGAGCCAATGGACGATGCGACCGCCACCCACATGCTCCACATTTCTCTCCGGGCAGGTTATCTCTATCAGGATTTCATCCTCCACCCCCCGGTTACGTATGAAGAGGCCCTCCGAAGGGTCACAGATTATGCCAACGCCGGCGAGGCGAACGCCGTGAAACGTTCGCAGGAGGTCGGGTCGTCGTCCCGTAAACCGGCCGGCCGGGCGGAACATCGATCGGGTGACGACCATCCCCGATCCCGCACCAGGCCTGGTGAGTTTACGGCCCTAAACCGATCCACGGCGGAGGCTATGCAGTACGCACAGTCCTGCAATCTCATCAAACTCCCCCATCCCGACCAAGACGGCCCAGACAAGAGTAAGCATTGTGCTTACCATCGATGTGCTGGGCATGACACTGAGGAGTGTACCCACTTACGCCAACTCTTGGAAGATCTTCTCAACCGTGGAAAGTTGGACAAGTGCGTGGGGAAGAGAGAGGAAACAAAGAAGAATACCGATCGGAGGGACAACAGGCGTTCTCATCATTGTTCCGATCATTTTGATCGTGATGGACGCTCTGATCGGTCGGGTCAGGACCGAAGAGATGACCGTCGAGATGACCGACGGGACCCAGACCCCCCATCTAGCAGCCGACCGGCAGGAAAGCCGACCATCCACGTAATCTTTGGTGGATTGGATGACGCTTCCCGACCGAGGGAGAACTGCCCGGTCGCTATCGTGGATTCCCGAGACACCGGGAAGAGACAGAAAATGGAACCCATAACCTTCTCCCTCGAAGATCAACCTAGCAGCGGTGACCACGGCATGGAGGCTCTCGTGGTCACTATTGACGTGAAAGGGACGGACGTCCAGAGGGTTATGGTAGACACCGGGAGCAGTGTCAACGTCCTTTATTTGGACGTGTTCGAAAAGCTCAACCTTGACAAGCACGAACTTACTCCGGTCGGTGTACCCTTGTCGGGATTTACCGGGGCTCTCATCTACCCCGATGGAAAAATTACGCTCATAGTTGAGATCGGCACCCCGCCGAAGTCGATCAAGACCGAGATGGAATTCGTTGTGGTGAACTTGCACTGTGTCCACAACATCATCTTGGCCCGGCCCGCAATCATGAAGATCGGTGGGATAATTTCGATGCCCCACCTGTGCATGAAATTCCCCACCCCTAATGGGGTCGGTGTGGTCCGTGGCGATGTCCAATCCGCCCGGAAGTGTTACAGCCGAGCGGTCAATAGGCGTGATGCTGGTACGTCTTCCCGGGTGAACACGATCGCCAAGGAGGTCTCCAACGACCGGAAGGAGCAACCTGAGCCCTCCGAGGAAATAGAAGAAGTTCCCCTGTCCG